TATGCACATCTGTCTGTCTATGTGCACCCAACATTTGTTGCCGTGTGCTCTGCAAATTTTTGTGATAGCATGAATCCATGGCAAGTGGAAAGGGCAAATGTCAGTGATGCAAATGAGAATTGTAGGCTTATATTTTTATTTGCGTAGGATGTGAAGCAAATATGTTGGGGGAGTGGGAGTATGGAGGTCAGGTCCACCAGCTTAATCAATTGCAAATCATACATATATGGCCAAAAGCTTGTGAGCACCAGACCCCCATGCCTACGCTATATGCCAAAAACTATGTGGGCATCCCCCAAATTATTGAGTATGGGTAGTATATGTGCTACAGCATACAAAGGGAAAAAAAGCCAGGTCCATAAAAGCTATTGAACACACCCAAGATGAACTGAATGCTCATTGTCAGTCTTGACTTTTCAGTCCACATCAGTACCTGGTTGAATGGACGCGAATTTCCACACACTGCATAATCTTGTGCAAAGCCTTCCCAGAAGAGGCTGTTATAGCTGCAAAAGGAGGCAGGGAGGGGCAACATATTAATGCTCATGATGGTTTTGGAATGGGATGCCCAGCAAGCTCATATAGTAGTGATGCTCAGGTGTCCACAAACGTTTCCCCATTAAATGCACATAAATCAATGACCTGACAACCACAAAGGGTAGAGATCAAGACTTAGATAGCTGCATAGTTACATAGACCTCCTACCAAAGAATGGAGACTCCAGATGTGCAGCAAACAGCAGCAAATGTAACATGATCTGGTGAATTTATAGGTGAACATGGCCCATGAATGTGCTTTAGAATGATGTCGAAAAGAACCAATAGATTCATTATTGGGAATAACCAGCAAATATATGTAAATTTATACATAATGTACATACATAGTTACATAGTCAGGTTGAAAAAAGACACATGTCCACAGAGTTCATCCTAAAGAGATGAAAAAAAAAAAAAAAGCCTAAACAGAACGCTACGCCCACAATTACCCACTGTTGATCTAGAGGAAGGCAAAAAAAAAAAAACCCTATAAAGCATGGTTCAATTTGCCAAAATTCCAATTTGAAAAAAATTCCTTCCTGATCCCATAAGGCAATCGGATTTTCCCTGGTTCAACAATCTCTGTTGCCTAATATACCTATAAAAACTAAATATCCAGTAATATTCTGTGCATTTAGGAATACATCAAGATTTTTTTTTTTAAACAATTAACTGAGCTAGCTAGAACTAGCTCCTGGGGGAGTCTATTCCACATTTTCACACCTCTAACTGTGAAGAATTCTTAGATACATAAGAAGCCTAAGAATACATAGTTATACATTCACTCATGTGAATGTGGCCTAAAAAATGTTTCACCTTCAAAGTGTTAAGTTAATTGAGTAAAAGATGTTGTGCAACTCCCAATTAAATCCATTTTATTGCAGGGCACAGCTTTCCAAGGGCTTGCAGACGGCAGCCCAAAAACTCACAGATAGTTCAAGTTTTTCTTGAACACATCACCATGACAACGCTCAGTAAGCCAATTACATAGGCCGGGGGAATATGACTTTTCTTTTAATGTTGCTATGGGTGCATGGAAGCTATTTTTTAAGTTTTAGAAAATCACAGCTGGCCATCAATTTCAATGAAAAGGATGCAGCTCTCATTGCTTCTGCTAAGGCTGAGTGCCAGGTGTACTGAACATTGAAAACCTAGATGCTTCCTGAGTTTGCCCCCCACCTTCCCCCTTAGAAGCCAACTTAGAATCTAAACAACAACAACAAAAATAAAGCTGCTGGCAGATAAATATAGCAAAAGTAGCTCTCTTTTCCTTCTGCTACAGCCAAATGTTGTGGAGTCACCCCCCCCCCCCCCCCCCCATACATATACACACACACACACACTTTCCTATTGGCCCATCACTATGATTAGGTTGCTCTGTTGGCCAACTGAAATGTGTGTGTTGGGAGTGGAAGAGTAAGCTCCATTCCCACGAGGGAGTGCCTGAGCTTTGCCCATTCAGAACGGCCCAACATTTGGTCATAGCAGAGGGAAAAGAGAGCTACTTGTTGCTATATATTTTTATTAGCTTCTAAGTTTCTTTAGATTTCTTTACACTTTTTAAAACTTTTTAATGGAGTTTGCATTTTCACTCCAATAGTTGATCATTTCCCAGTCCCATCTTGCTGTATGCAAAGATTCATTAAGGTGGACTCTGATAACTACACCACTTAAGCTTGTTTTCATCAACATTTTTTTATGCAAAAGATACAAACATAAAACTAAATGAGAATCCTTAAAGTTTTATCAGGCTGTTATATTTTATTACATCAACATAAAAATATCCATATGGCTTTCCAGTTTGTCATTTCTTTGTAAAATGAGCAAGATGTTTGCTTTCATAAATATGCAAAGCAAAATGACATAGTTACATGCTGTAGTATAACAGAAGAAGCACTTGGGACATCAAACGAAGTTAGAATTTTCCTGTTATCAGATGTCATAACCACTTAAACAAACATCAAATAAAAAGTCTCCTCCATAGCAGAAGGAGTGTAACTTTATTGATATTAGATGATGTAAACATGTGAACCTCGGCTTTCTAAGTTATATTTCAGAGACTGTAGATTTTAATCTGCAACTAATGGAAGTCTAAGATTAGTGTGTCTACGAATGCAGCAAATCTAAAGCAAAGTGAGAACAGAATGCTGTGTCAGCTGGTGTCCTTTAAGGGATGCATCAGTCTACATCCTCATAGGGCTTCTCAGCTTCCACATGCATATTGAACCTAGCACATCTCCATCAATGACTATAGAAGAGAGCATAGCTTTTCTAAGACATGGTGAGTAATGAACAGGGAGCTGTAGTGCTTCTACATTCGCCAATTTACAAAGCTGTATAGGGTCTGTCTGCTCAAAATAAGCTAAATGTTGTTAAATATCCTCAAACTTAAGAACAAGTAGGCAATCATTTGAGGTAAAAATGCACACAATCGACATAAACCTTCTCCTCCCATGGTGACTAAAAAAAGGTGGAAAAAGAAAATGTCCTACAAGCAACTTTATAAATCTCCCCTGTGATACTTAAGTTGTTTTCTAAAAGCAATGTATTCTTAAAGAGAATTAAACTTGTAGTTTGTAGGCAGAGAATGCAACCTATGAGTTCACTAGTAACCAGGGAAAGAAGGGGGAACACTGATGCACCTAGTTCCAGTGAACTGATAGGCTGGTTACTGGCTTAGCCCGACAAATGTCTCCACACTAAGGCTGGCCATACACCTATCAATTTTTTTTCCTTCAACCCGCGGGCTGAACGAAAAAAAAAAATTGACCCGATTCCTCCATCAACACAAACAGCGTGTCGATCGAGGAATCCAGCTGTTTACGTTGTATTCTGACAGCCGTCAGAATACCCAATCAGAGAGGGCAGCTCATTGGCTGCCGGCTCTGATCGATCGAAAATTTTCTAGCTGGCTCCCTTGATCAGCTGATGGAGGAATGCCTGCTGGAAGAGAGCAGACAGCCGGCAGAATTTCCGCCGGTAAATTAAAAACCGCCTAAAATTTGACCGGTGTATGGGGAACTTAAGGAAGACAGGCACACTTTACAGGATTGATCCATTGTTAAATCAGTATCGGGTGGCTTTTTATTTCATTTGTGGATTTGCCAGGTTCACCCACCTTCTGCAGTCATTACCAATTGGTCTAGCTTATTATGAATTTTGTTTTAAAGTGCATGTCCAGCCAAAGCTTTTTCTTTAGTTTTGGATAGAGTTGAGAAAGATTAGAACCCATCTATTTTGCATTACAATCTGGGGATCTGTTGGAGATTGTTAACTTAGATTGATGTCACATGGGTGATTATGTTGCTGCTGACAACTTGCCTGCAACAGGGGTACTAACTTACCACTTGCATGTTTTTAATGTGTTACACCTTCGCTAGCTGGACCAGGGAGATGTTGCTCCCTAGCTAGAGAGGGAAATTCAGCAGCGTTATGGACCAGCTGGAGAGCAATTCCATAGAAGTGGAAGACTCTGCCGGGAGATTCTGCTGCTGGTGACGCTTCGCCAGGAGTAGAATTGGCAGTGTGATATCAGCTTACTCTCCCTAATGACAACAGTTTAACTAGACAGAAATGAGGGAATATCTTCAGCGCAGTAGAGTAAGTAGAGTAGGGGAAGGCCAGAACCCCCTATGAACTTTTTTTGTCACTGGCTGTCTTTGATGCAGAATTTGCCTCACATCATGTCTGCTGAAACCATTGTCACCATGACAGTAAATAAAAGGAAACTTCTCCAGCAGAGCCCCCAAAAAATCCTAGCAGGGTTTCTAACCCTTCCCCACTCTATCAAAAACTAAGGAAAACATGTTTTGGCTGGGCATACACTTTAATGATAGAGAATGCTGGAGGAAGAGTGAGGATTTCCAATTGTACCATGACTGCTATGGGAGTGTTATGGAATTTCTTTACAGACTAAGTCTATATTATCCACCTATTAAGGAACTATACGTTTGAGCAGACTGACCTGTGTTTCATCCAGATCAGTGGTCCTCGCATTTCAGTCAGTTAGAAATCACACCCTGTACAGAGTGCATTAAATACACAACATGTTAGTTTTTAAGCCTAAGCAGATCCAAAATATATTTTCCATCTTTAAGAGCAACAGGATATCATCCCCCATCTCTGAGACCCTGGTGTGAACATTCCCTTCCATACTTAAAATTGTTAGGACAGCTGCTACTTCAGGTGAGCCTCTGATGTCAGCAGAAGAAGCTGGTGCTCTATATACTGTACTGTATGCAGAAACCAGTCCAAAGATACAACAGTTTTGTTCCCCCTTCTAGTGAAATCCTTATTAGAAATATATGGAGAACTGTCTTCTACCAATGACACCAGAAGCTTAGTTGAAAGACTAACTTCAACCAGTCACAGTTCTGCTAGGGCAGAAAACAAACGCTCTAGCAGAGAGCTGTACACAAATCTTTGCTTAGCTCTTCTGGCTGTACCTCTACTTGGCCTGGATATCTATAACCAGCGTTTAAGACTGGAGAGAGCAGAGCTGAAGGTTCGGAGAGAGGTATGTGTCCCCCTGTAAGACATTAGAAGGGACCCAGCTTCTGCCTTGTGTCCAGAACTATGAAGCTGTTTCGCGATTTCCTCCACATCCCATGGGTCATCTTCTTGCTTGGCCAGTAAGTGGTTAACCAGATGTGGGTAGTAGACAGTGCCTATGCATTTTACCATCAACTTGGCATCCAACAACAGGGAGAGGATTTCAGAGTCACAGTTGGAGTCATTGACCTAAAAAGAGGAAATGGAAAAATACCCGTGAGAAAAATGTAAGGTTGCACATTTTCTTCTTTGTATATTGCAGTCTCCTGGAAGAGCCAACAGACAAAAGCCTTGCCACAAAAGTGTTCTATTCTTAGTAACAAATCTCATCTCCTTTCATGACTCAGAGCATCACATTTCCAGGATGTAAGAGAGAGCAGATATTGTGCAAAATGCACAGACAACATCACACATAATAATTTCTCTCTGCATGTCCAACCAACCTACATCTTACAGCACTTTACTGCACATGTAATGCATGTTTAATGTAGTATGCCAAGCTCCAGAGGTCTACACCCATGATGCTGTGACATTTAGAAATCACTTCCACATTTCCAGCTACAGTTCCCAGTGGGGAATAAACTAATCTCTTGGAATTATAAGAGGTCAGTGTATGAGAGGGCACCTATTGTACTATAGATGCACTGGAAGTCTTTTGGAGTACCTTTGTCCCTCCTCAACATAATCCTTCTTACTTTTCTCTGGCGCTGCTCAGCACAGGTGCTCAAGGACAAGACTGCAACACTGAGAAATCCATATAGAGGGACAATAAGATGGACCCCTTCTTCAGCACAATTCCATAGAGGGACCAGAGTTTGATATATAGGCTTAAAGGTTGTGAACTAGGATATGATCTACTAGGATAGGATCTACTAATGATTCACTACATGAAATGATACAAGTAAAGGTCAACCAAGGCAAATGTAACAGAAGTAATGCGAAGTTGGTGTGTTTAAATGCACATGCTGCTACTGCGTGAGTTCATCGTGGGGAAGGATTCTGGCAAGGTAGCAACTTAGCAAAAAAGAATGTACATTAATTTATTAACAAAGGCCCAGCTTGCCATGGTTTCATAAATGATTATTATGAAAGAATTGTGTGCAAAGTAGATAAGTGTTTCTACATACTTAGCTGTACCTGTGTTGTAGACCAGAAACTGTATTAGAGAACAATTTGTATCTGTCAGTTAAATCTTATGTGCAGGGCCATGCTTTGGAAACTTTACCTTGGGTGCCACTGCCAATATGGACGGATTGTCCCAAGCATTGCTAAAATTGGTAACATGGTATGAATATATTTTGCTATGTATTGCTGGGCTATGCTGGTGTCAGTGCCAGGATTTGGAAATGTTACCAACCAAATCATAACTTGTATTTTTCTTATCGGATTCAATTGAAAATGTGTAAATCCTGGGGGAAAGTTGTGCAAAAACAATTATAAACAGATACCTATGTGTTACAGATTTCAAGAACAGAAAATATTGTGGCTCTAGGTTCCCTCAAAAGTATTACCGAAAGCCCCCCGATACCAAAAATGAAGATACCTAAAAAGACATTTTGCCTCTTTATAGGGATACCACAGTTCAATATATAAAATGGAATAGGCTTTCTTCCACATATGATGTATTGGATTGCTAGTTTGTATTCCAGCCCTACCGCCAGACTTAAAATCAAAAGTCTCCTGAGAGATCCCTTGCCCATTAAAAATGGGGCATGCCAAGTATTCCCCGTCTTCTTTAATCTTTATTTTTTTAAATTGAGCCTTTCATCTGAACCATTACCTCCTCCCCATATTTCTCAGGAGTCAGGGAAAGGAGGAAAGAATGCCGGATTTCAGCATTCACAGATGACCTATTTTTGTTTATATATCCCAACCAAGTTGAATGGTTCCTCATCTTCTCAAAATTAAATTTCCTAATATCTGGATCTTCCTCATCTCTTAGAAACTTCAAAACTGCGATTTGCTGATATTCTCCTCATTCAGCCAGAATGCTAAAATTAAAATGAATATCCTCCTCAGACACCTATATGCACTCCAAACAATCCCTAGCTTGCTGCCCTGCTCCTTTGTTAAAACTCCTGCAGCGAAGGATCAATCACTCCCTCTTCATCCCACCCAAGTCAGTAGGGGGAGTAGGATTGCCTAACTTCAGAATGTATAATTACATTAGTCCCCAAACAAGAATTGTAGATTGTTACTGCAACTTAACTTACAAGGACATATATCTTAGGTTTGCTGGATCTCCAAACCCAATAGACCACAGCCTGGTCAAGAGTTAAAGCTTATAGAAGACACATTAGTGCATGAAGATCATTTTGGGGAGATTTCAGATATCTTCGACCCCACATCTCTTGACCCCAATGCCTATGAATCCTGAATTTTCGCCAGGCCTGAAAACAGCATTCTCTCACGACATTACCGATCCAATTCTGCCCAGAGCAAAAGACTTCCTCAGCAAGGGTACCTTCCACAACAGAACTGACTTGAATCACATGGGCCTCATTCACCTTTTCCCCTTCTAGTCATACTTTCAAACACTTTACTGAAACATTGAAAACACTTAAAATCAGAGCTTCCCCTTGCTCTACCACATGCGTGGCATCTTAACTTTAGCGAGTGACCCATGGGCCGCACACCAAAGGTCCCATGTGTCACAAAAACTCAGAGTGACCTATATTGTAGTGAAAGTGTTGTGCTCTGCCCAATGTGCATACATCTGCACATATTTATATTTGCAGTAGGGATATACCATACCTTCACATGTACATGTGCTTTCTTTTTAGGCTGACCCTGAGTTTTACAAAAGATTTTGTGACAGGGAGAGACATTGAGAGACAGAGACACACTTAGAATCTTGAAGAGAACTGCTGCACTCCTTACCGGAAACCCCTTTAAATACCGTTAATTATGTCATGTGTCTGTCATACTGGAACCTGAAGAAGGGGGCCCTGCGTGGCCCCAAAACGTTATGTGACATCTTGCGTTAATAAAGAAGATGGACTTTTGACGCATGATATACTGTATGTGTGCTGGTGATGCTTTCTGCATATCAGAGACACAATTAGGAGACAGGGACACAGCGTTGTCACCTTATAATAGGAAGTGCCTATGCAAAGATCTTAATTGCAGGATCAAAAGATATTATTATTATTATTATAGTAAAAGATGCAGATTTACAAATCTTTAAAATGAGTTTTGACAATTAACATTCCAGGTACGTCAAACAAAATGTGTAAAAAAAACCTTAGAGTTTTTTTTTTAAAGAAAGCAGCTACAGAAGAAAAGCCTGAGCTCTGCCAGCATGCTGTGTAGAAGGACTGGCACACCCCCTGCTAAGTCAAATATATAGCTCTGCAATCAGCTAAACTCATGCTCCCTGTTAATTGTAAAGCTCTAGCTCTAACTCCGCAGAGGGTATGTCGGACCTCCACAGAGAGACCACTGCTTCCACACAGAGAGTAAGGGTATTTCTCTGCAGTATGCTGGAAGGGCACAGGCTTTTCTACTCAACATTACAGCTTCTTTCAAAAGGGAACAAACTGTAAGACTTTGTGCACCTTTTATTTTGATGGACCTGAAGTGTATTTAGCTGATTTAAACTGAAAGTTCAATAGGGCTTTAAATATTATATGAGATTCAATTGATTAGGTTCACATTTACTATGGATGGGATATTATTTATGAATAGTGTTTTAAAGGGAAACGAAAATGGTTATCCAGTTTACGTCAGCGGTTCTCAACCTGTGTAACCACAGGACCCACATTTGTCCTTGGTTATTAAGTTGCACCGCACCTAAATGCATGGCATTGCGGTACCGCGCGCTCCGGTGCGGGTGATCGATCTGTGGGAGGGAGGTGCGTTTGGGGTACCATTAAAATGAATGGAAACGCAACGTGCCTCCTGTACCAAAACACATGGTAGGTAATTGTGCACTTAATGTGATTAATGCACTGTACTTGTGTGAACGGGCCCTCAAAAACACGGGCATACACACACAACCACAGACACAATCTCACACACACACTCCAAAAATGTTTTTAAGAGCCACCAATTCTCCCTACCTTACGAGAGCTGGAGTGGATCCTCAGTCTGGAATCCATTGTGGGCTGCTAGGCTGTGACGGAGCTCCATCCATATGTCTATTATTTGTACAGCTGCCTTGCATGCCCCGTAGAATGTGACGTCAATCCGGTCTACAGTATCACGTGGTAGAAAAGTCACTTGCACTCCAATAAGAATTTGAGTCAATGTTCTTTATTAACAAAATAATTGTCATATCGAATAGCGACGTTTTGGAACAGCTACACGATGTGACAATTCTTTTGTCAATAAAGAACATTGACTGAAATTCTTATTGGAGTGCGAGTGACTATTCTACCACGTGATACTGATTTGCAGAGGCATCTGCTGTCATCTCAGCACCCACTTATTTTCTTGAGTTATACCAGGTCGGGAGTGTGATGGGATCTACTTGAATTACTCCGTTCTACAGGGCACGCAGGGGAGCTGTAAGCAATGCACATATGTTGGCTGCTCCCTCGCAGCCATACCTCCGTCTCACCCCACCCCACCTCAAGCTGACATTGGCACTGGGCAGCATATTTTGAATGGCTGCTCGGCACGAGAACTGACAGTTCTGCTCTATGGGGAGGCTGAGGAACCTCTAACCTAGCACAGTGAAAGGCACTCGGGGACCCACCAGTTGAGAACCATGGATTTACAAATTTGAGGGGCATCTTCCAGTGGGACAGTACAAGTATGCCATTGCAATCAGATCGGTGACCCTCTCATGTGATAGTGGCAGCTAAGGGGAGACAAGATATTCAGCATATGATTATAAAAGTAAATGCTGATAATCAACATAGTTTAAAACAGAAAAAAAATACAACTGGGACTTTCTATTAATATGGATGTCTATATTTCAACTTCAAAGCCCTCCAGCTACAACTGACGGCGATCATCTGTGTGATGCTTTTATTTTTAGATGCCTTGAGAATTCTTTTTTTCCCCCTTTTCCATCGTAATTTGAACAACTTATTTCAGTTCCCTAATTTGCAGTTCTAGGTGGAAGAAAATACATTACGGAAATGACTGTTTGGTGGCTTAACATACAAAAATTGCACCCCAAGGTGCTTTTTAAAGCCTCTGTCATTTGCTGTTCTCAGGATGTTGTAAGGAAACAAGTAAGC